GACTTGTCTAGCTATAATAAAAGAATTAATGCCAACGATGAGTTATTATAAAAATTAGCGCATGGTGCGCATGCTGTATCACACGCCTGACAGAAGGATCGACGCACCCCAGGGTTTGAGTTGCTGTGAGCTAGGCTGACCACTGGCCTCATCTAGCCTGGACAGCAAAAGACCTGATGTCTCCCAAAAAAAAAAAAGAAAAAAAGCAGCCGGCATGGTGTGGGCGCGCGCGCTCCGCGCATGTGGCCTGTAGTCCCACGGCTACGTGGGAGGTGAGGCAGAAGGATGCTGTGCCAGGAGTTTGAGGGTTGCTGTGAGACGTATGCTGACGCCATATGGCATCGAGCTCTGCTGGGGCAGCGCGGAGACTCTGTCTCAAAAAAAAAATGAAACATTTAAACTAGAAATAAAAGGTGATGGTTGGAAAGTAAAAGTTCTCTTCTGTACTCTCTCGGTCGCATTTTTGCAGACATGCCGCGACGCGATTAGAGTCATTTTCTGTCTTTAGTTCTAATGGGGTAGTTATTTTCATAATTCCAAAGTGTGTGTGTGTTCTATCTCTACTATATATGGATATTTTTTTTTTTTGTTGAGCAGGTGCGCACTCTGGCTGCCCGGGTAATTTTTTTTTAGCTATATTATATTTTTGGCTGGCCAATGCAATTTCTTTCTATTTTTAGTGTTATTTTAGTAGAGGATGGGGGTCTCCTCTTGCTCAGCTGGTTGTGTCGACACTCCTACCTTGTGTGTATCTGCCTGCTTCGGCGGGCGTCCCGCGCAGGAGTGGTAGCATTTGTGTCACGGCGTGATGAGTATATGTTTTGACTTCTTTGTTCTTTTGAGTGTGTGTTTAGCTCTGCGCCGCCACTGAATTCACTCGCCCAGATGTGAAGATCGATGTTAGTGCCATTTGGCTTATGTCACCTTTTTTCCGGCGCCTCTGGCCAATTTTTTTATATTTTTATGTGTGTTGGCTGTTGGCACTTTCGTTGCATAAGGTCCACAGCCCGTATGTATGGGTTTCGAACTCCTGACCTCGAGCAATCCGCCCGCCTCAGCCTCCCAGAGTGCTAGGATTACAGGCGTGAGCCACCGCGCCCGGCTAAATGTTTCATTTTTGAAGAGGCATGGTGACTCATGCCTATAATCCCAACACTTCAGGAGGCCAAGGCAGGAGGATCACTTGAGGCCATGAGTTCAAGACCAGCCTGGGCAACATACTGAGACCGCCAACTCTGCAAAAAAAAAAAAAAAATTAGCCAGGTGTGGTAGTGCATGCCTATAATCCTAGCTATTTGGGAGGCTGAGACAGGAGAATCATTTGAGCCCAGGAGTTAGAGGCTGCAGTGAGCTATGATCATGCTACTGTAACAGAGTGAGATACCATCTCTAAAATAACAGTAAATTTAAAAATAAACATTTTATGTTTCTGTACATGCAGAATTTCTGAAAACCTGTGTTTATCTAGGCAGCTTGCTTCCCTGCCCTCTAAAATGTCCACTTCGGGCATTCTGTGCTCTATCCGATGGTCTCCATCTCAACTTCCCCTCTCCAAACTTACAAACCTCTTTCTCTTTTAAAATGGAGGAAGCGTCTGCCTACCTGAGGTTAATCTCTCCACCTCTGCGTGCATCCCGGCCCCTCCTATTTCTTCAGAAACTGTGTTGCCCTCTTTTTTGTTCAGGATCTTCAAAGCCTCCCTCCCTGGGAGACGCAGGCACACATGTTCAAGCTACTCCCATCTTAAATTGAAAAGCTGCCTTGGTCCCAGACCCTCTCCAGCTTCCTCTCTCGTCTCTTTACAACCAAATATCTCCATTTCTTACTCCTGGACCCACTCCAACATCGCGTCTGCCTTCCTCACTCCAGCAGAACTGCGTCGTAAGCTCACCGATGGCTCCGATCTCCACATCCGACTTGCTACGGGTCTTTCTCTAACTTGATTTCTCACGGCTTCTGACACAGGGGACCACGCTCCTTAAAACACTGTCTTGCTTTGACTTTCAGGACACCACACCGTATCACTGTAATTTGCCTGACTTGTGTCCTCACACATGGTTTGCGTCGAAGTTTTCCCCTCTCTGTGAAGGGTTTCTCAAATCAAGGTCACAATGTTGACTGCAGTGTTTGCTCTACACAAACCTCCACACGCTGAGCTGCACACCAAGGGTTTCATAGTTTCCACAATCACATTCAGGAACAGGGGCCATCCTTCATGTTGCTCCAAGAGAAAGCCATCTGCTGAAAGGCCAGCTTGCTGCTGGCATTTTTATCGGATTTGTTCAAAGATATAGCAGCAATTTTAACAAATGGGCTTCCACTTATAGCAGAAAACTTAATCTTGTGAGATGTAGAGAACTAAGTCACTTGTGTCTTGAATCTCAATTTGCGGTGGTGAAGGGTATTTCTCAGTTGGTCAGAACTCTCACCCTTTTCTCCTCTAATCAGGTCTCTAGAGGGGGCAGTGGGAGAGACAGGTTGTCTTCGTGTTTTCTTCCCTGCGGGCTCCACTGGGAGTATAACTGATCTCCCAGCACACACAATGCACACTAATTATTTCAGGAGTGTTTGAGGGATCGCACTGGTCTGATGACTTGTTGAGAACCAGCTGTACTTTCCTTTGTTGATGGGCTGTCCACTCCCAGACTCACTTCACCTTGGACTACGGTGCTTGGCAGGCACTTTACCGTTCAACTTTCTTTCTTGGGAACTTTTTGGATCTCCTCTAAGCCCTGTGAGAGAGGTGTCTGTGTGCATGTGCATGTTAGGGGCAGAGGAGGAAGCAGTATAGTTGGTTATCAGAGGTATAAAAGACCCTGTCATTGGCTCATGCCTGTAATCCTAGCTCTCTGGGACGTCAAGGCTGGTGGATTGCTCAAGGTCAGGAGTTCAAAGCCAGCCTGAGCAAGAGCAAGACTCCATCTCTACTATAAATAGAAAGAAATTAATTGGCCAACTAATATATATAGAAAAAATTAGCCAGGCATGGTGGCGCATGCCTGTAGTCCCAGCTACTTAGGAGGCTGAGGCAGGAGGATCGCTTGAGCCCAGGAGATTGAGGTTGCTGTGAGCTAGGCTGACGCCATGACATTCACTCTAGCCTGGGCAACAAAGCGAGACTCTGTCTCAAAAAAAAAAAGAAAAAGAAAAAGAAAAAGAAAAAGACCTTGTCTTTGCTCATTTCTCCTCTACTAAAGGACAAAGACCTCAAAATCTATCCAGCAATTTATAACAGCCAACACCTCCCTCCCCTATCTTACCACCAATGCCCATAGATTTTCCTACTTATCACCTTAGTACTCCTCTCACCTTTGCTCTTTGAACCTGTCCGCCAAACCCAGATAGAAATTTGTCTATATATGGTGGAAAGACTTTTTAAAATTTATTTATTTTTTTCGGCATATTATGGGGGTACAGACTTTAAGGTTTCAATAAATGCCCTTTCCCCCATCCCCCCACAAGTCTGAGTCTCCAGGGTGACCATTCCCCGACTTTTTTTTTTTTAAATGACATTTTTCTTAACTTTGTAGCCTTTGGTCTATGCCCTGAATCTTTATATGCATAGTCGACTTTTTAAGAATAAAAAAAAATACATTTACCTTTTCAGTCAAGCACCTGCCTTTTGCAAATAAGTAGTACTCCAGCTTTCAGACTATGTTACTTTTATTATAACTTTAAGATTTTGAAATTCCAAATATCATCAAGGTAGGTAATCATAGATTCTTTTAGTTGCTATGGCCCCCTTAACGAAGAATTCATGACAGACTGTAAGATTTCTTAATCTTTCACATAGACAGATTTCTGCAATCCTTTCATCCTTCTAAATTTTAAGCAATTAACTCTGAAAAGGAGAAAAGAATAGCAAAACTAGAAGCAAAATCCCAAGGTTCAAAATTTCTTTGTGCCTCTGTTTTTATGCAGTTTCTTTTGGCATGGCAGGAAGGTGGGCAATATTGTTTTTACATAATACCCGGATTTTGATTGTTCCAGCATGTATATAAACTACATGTTTTTTTGTTATCCATTATCTGATCTTATCTAAAGTAACCTTTTTTTGCTTGATTATTCTGGTTCAAGCATTTTTATATCAAAGTCTACAAATATCTGAAAGGAAAAAAATTTAATTTCATAATTTAGCATTATCATTTAACTTATTCAAATTTATTAATCTTAGACTATACATCTACCTGGAGTTGGAAACCTAACAAGCAAGCTGGCAGTAATAGTACACTTTGTGACTGCGGAAATTGTAAAGCGGAAAAAAATGGAAGGAAAAAGAATAGCTCTAAGAGGGAGAGATTTAGCGCATACAGATAAAACAGGCACATCCACTCCGACTCTATTTGCCCAGTTGAAGTAACGTTGTTTGTTAATTTAAGGAAATACTACAGATACAGAACGTAATGGGTGCAGAGTTCTGCTGTTACTGACCAAAACCGAAAGTTAGAGGAAGCAGGTACTGCCTGGGTTGAACTGGAGACCTAAGAAACCGCAGAAACCCAACCCGACCCTGGCTGGGCAAAGACTAGCTTCAAAGACGGCACTCCACACAGCAACGTGGAACTGGATTAATCGTTTAACCTTGTTATTTTCATTATTGTTAATAGGCATCCCCACATTCTTAAAAGCTCTCTGAGACCAGGGCGGCCTCCGAATGCTTCGCTTGTCTGCATTCAAAGCGACGCGAGAGGCCGTTTGCTGACATAACCAAAACATGGAGGCCAGCTTTTGTTTACTCCGGCCCCGCTCAGACACAGGCGTCTCAGGGCAGAGACCCAGAGACCTCGCGCTGGTCGCGGCGCAAAGTCTAGCGGGACGCAGCCCTCGCGGTCTTTGCCCGCCCCGGCCCAGCAGCCTCCGCGCCCGGGCCCGCGCTTCCTCGCCTCTCCTCCCGGCGCCGCGGCGGGCCCGGAGCGCGCGTCGTCACAAAGCGCAGCCGGAACGCTCAGGCGCCCGCCAAGCTTCCGGCTTCCCCGGGCAGCCCCACTTGCGGCCCTCCCTCGCGGGGCGGGAGGCGCCCGGCGCCCCTCCCTGCCGTGCCCTCCCCTCCCCTCCCCCACGGGCTCCCTTCCGCAGCCTGACAGGGCCGCGGCGTCGCGACTCCGGCGCCGCAAAGCGTCCTGGGAGCGCCGGCTCGCGCCGGAAGGACGCGCGGGCGCGCGGCGGCGGCGAGGTTATAAAAGGGAAGAAGCCAGCGGCGGACGGAAGTGGGCGGTTCTGCTGCTCTGCGCGCTGTTGTTTGGTGTTTGTGCCTCCGGAGGGGCGTTCTCTGGAGGGCTGCCGGTGCAGGCCGCAGTGACAGGGCCGCTCGCCGCCGCGCTCCCCTCCTATCGCCCGGTGCAGCGTCTGCTCGCGGCCGCCGCGTTCTGCAGGCCCAACATGGCGCAGGAGGTGTCGGAGTTCCTGAGCCAGAATCCGCGGGCGGCCGCCTGGGTGGAGGCTCTGCGCTGCGAGGGCGAGACTGACAAACACTGGCGCCACCGCCGGGAGTTTTTGCTCCGCAACGCCGGGGACCTCGCCCCCATTGGCGGCGCTGCCTCGGCTAACACGGATGAAGCTGCTGACGCCGAGAGCGGGTCCCGCAATCGACAACTGCAGCAGCTCATCTCCTTTTCCATGGCGTGGGCAAACCACGTCTTCCTCGGGTGCCGGTGAGTAGGGAAGCGTCCCTAGCCAGGCCTCCCCGTTTGGTCTTCCGCCCTGGCCTGGGGCCCGGAGCCGTCAGCGGGGAGGGGAAATTGTGCAGCGCGGGAATCTGCAAGACCGCTGCCCTCTAAGGGTGAGAAGGGCGTCTCTGTGAGAAGCAGACATGATTAACACTTTGCCCGTACGTGCTCCCGTTGCGTGGGGGGCTGCTAATAGAGTTGTTGTCGTTAAGCTGACAACGCTCTTGAGGTTGGACGCTAGATTTAAATACTAGTAAGGAGGTGCCCAGCCTCCCAGACCCTGGAGCATTTGTTTGTGGGGTTCCAGGAAATAGTTCTTGGCGGTTGGTACACTGTCTTGATTGCAACCAGGAAATGCAGTTCCTTTGGCCTGTTTTTGCACACCACAAGTAGCTTAGAAAAAAAAAAACACTTTTTTAAAGTGACTTTTCCTTCTTTTTCAGATACCCTCAAAAAGTTATGGATAAAATACTTAGTATGTCTGAAGGCATCAAAGTGACAGATGCTCCAATCCATACCACAAGAGACGAACTGGTTGCCAAGGTGAAGAAAAGAGGGATATCGAGTAGCAATGGTTAGCAGATCATAGATGTGAACATACATAGGAGTTTAGAACATAAGTTTGATATAATTAGGAATTATTGTATTACTAATTTTTTAACAAGCCAGAATTTTTATAATGTTATTAATCAAGTTGGAATGTTAAATTTAAACTGTGTTTGTGTGTTTCAGGCTCTGAATTTGATAATTTCTTTTGATTGCTTTAGATTTTGAAGTGTCCAGTGTTGCCTGATGCTGTTGATTTTTTAATATTAGAAATTAATGATCACTGTTTTAAGAAATTAATGTATTCCATGCTTTTTAAAGAAACTACTGGTTCTAAAATATTTTCACCACGTGCCTTTATTTTAATATGTATATGTCTTGTCAACTGAGACGTATGAGGTATTCTTAGTCACAAAGCTGTGTTTTTCTTCTTTTTAGAAGGGGTAGAAGAGCCATCCAAAAAACGAGCCTTAGAAGGAAAAAACAATTCGGCAGTTGAGCAAGATCATACAAAAATTTCTGCCAAGACAGACCGAGCATCAGCTCAGCAGGAGAACAGCTCTACATGTATGGGGTCGTCCACCAAATCAGAGAGCAGTGGAAACTCAACCCGGAGCTCTGGCATTTCCAGTCAGAATAGCTCTACAAGCGATGGAGACCCATCCATTTCCAGCCAAAGCAGCAGCAGCATGTCCTCTCAGGTAACAACAGCTGGATCTGGAAAAGCTTCTGAATCAGAAGCTCCAGACAAACATGGCTCAGCATCATTTGTTTCTTCATTACTGAAGTCCAGTGTGAATAGTCACATGACCCAATCCACTGATTCCAGACAACAAAGTGGATCACCTAAAAAGAGTGCTTTGGAAGGCTCTTCAGTAGCAGCTTCTCAAAGTAGCTCAGAGATTGAGGTGCCCTTGTTGGGCTCCTCAGGAAGCTCAGAAGTAGAGTTGCCATTGTTGTCTTCTAAATCTAGTTCAGAGACAACTTCAAGTGGGTTACCTTCTAAAACTAGTTCAGAGGCAGGTGTTTCATCATCAGTTTCTAAAAACAGTTCCTCATCAGGCACATCCTTACTGACTCCCAAGAGCAGCTCCTCAACAAATACATCACTGTTATCTTCCAAGAGCACTTCCCAGGTAGCTGCATCACTATTAGCTTCCAAGAGCAGCTCCCAGACCAGTGGATCTCTGGTTTCCAAAAGCACTTCCTTAGCAAGTGTGTCCCAGTTGGCTTCTAAGAGTAGTTCTCAGACTAGCACCTCACAGTTGCCTTCTAAAAGTACTTCACAGTCAAGTGAGAGTTCTGTCAAATTCTCTTGTTGCAAGTTAACCAATGAAGATGTGAAACAGAAGCAACCTTTCTTCAATAGACTGTATAAAACGGTGGCATGGAAGTTGGTAGCTGTTGGTGGCTTTAGTCCCAATGTGAATCATGGAGAGCTGCTAAATGCAGCCATCGAGGCTCTGAAAGCAACACTGGATGTGTTTTTTGTCCCACTAAAAGAACTGGCAGATCTGCCTCAAAATAAGAGCTCTCAAGAAAGTATTGTTTGTGAATTGAGGTGCAAGTCTGTGTATTTGGGCACTGGCTGTGGAAAAAGCAAAGAAAATGCAAAAGCAGTTGCGTCAAGAGAAGCATTAAAATTATTTCTCAAGAAAAAGGTGGTGGTAAAAATATGTAAAAGGAAATACAGAGGCACTGAAATAGAAGATCTAGTTCTCCTTGATGAAGAATCAAGGCCTGTAAACTTACCTCCAGCATTAAAACATCCTCAAGAGTTACTATAATATGTCCAAAATATCACTGCTTACAGTGTCTGGCATTTGAAGAGAAAAACTGGCTTACTTTTGTACAGTATAAAACACAGGCTTTCACAAATTTTGTATTGCATTTTTCCAGTTTTGCAGAAAATTTACATTCTGGTTCTCTTCACAGTAGAAATTGTAAATAATTTATGAATGACAGTATACATTAAAAGGTGTGCATTAACAGCATACCAGTATGCTGTTTTATTTGCTGAAGAAAATACTGTCTTCTATTTTTAATGATACATTAGGTATGATGTGTAGTCCTGTAGAGTCTTAAAATTTTTGTACTACTTTCAATTTGGTGAAAATGTATTAAGTTGTCTACCATACTTTTTTTCCTAGCTGAGTAAAACCACATCAAAGAAAAGGGACCACAGTATTTGAATGTCTGAAAGTCTGTGAAGCCTAAGGTTTTAAAAATGTTGCCCATAATGTTGAACATGTCTGTTAAAAAATAAAAGAAAAAATAGTTGCCTCAGACTATTTTTATGAGAAGTTGTAAGCATTTTTTAGATATAAAGCAAGTATAAAGTACGTAATTGTTATTTTATTCTGAAGTTGTTAAAAATTCACCATGATTTTGACCGCTGCAGATTCTTTAAGTGGGTTAATTTATGTTTTCGGTGGAATACAATTTACACTTTTTCTTAAAGGATATAAATGTGGGTTTCTATACTAAGCATATTTTGTGACTACTATTAACAGATTGATTTGTTTAGATATTAAATGCTTTAAGCTATTTTACCTTTTCAAGAAGTTGTGTTTTTCTTCCCTCCTAAGTCAGAACCAATACCTGCAAAAGGCTTCCCACTACTTGTCATTGTCAATTACAACCAGGTAATTTTTTTTTTTCTATTTTTTTTAAGTTTCCCACAGTGCTAACCAGGTAATTTTTCATAGTGATAATACAAGTTTTTATGGGTAGGCAAGTTACAATTTTCAAATCTAGAACTTGATGGTTTTTGTATTTACAAATCTCATGGAGTACTACTGGGAAGAATAGACAGCCACATTCAACTCTTTAATGAGCCTGTTCAATTGAATTGCATTTGTTAGAGATGGAATTTTGTTTCTGTGTCTTAGGTGACTCTATTTCTCTATTGCGATATATTCTGTGTATTTTTCTTCAAACTGGCCCAGGATGATTTGTTACCTTTGTGGCCTTCTGGCTTTTTAGATGCTATTTTTAGATGCTGCACATTGAGCACTAATAGTGATAATGTACAGAGAAAAGAAATGGCCTCTTACAGGCCAGGTATATTGGGATAAGAAAATTGAACATAAGTAGCACAACTTAAGCATGTGGAAATTACTCCTGTTCTGTATTCTAGGAATAATGGACAAAGATACTTTAGCTTCTTATGCTTGAATGATCAAGGATGTTTTTATTTTACTAGACAACCTTTCAAAATGATTGCTTTCTGAGGATGTTTAATTGGACACCAAAGCTAAAATCCATATACTGTGACCAGGTCGCCTTTATTGTGGAAAGCAATAACATGAATGTATTGTGAAAGTCCTTTTAATTCACTTTCCTCAGTCTTGGAGAAAGTGTATTTTGTGGGACAATGATTATCAGAAAAGCCAAAAATTAACAAAAAATAAATAAATTTCTGTAATGGATCTAATTAATTAGGTGGTTTGGTAATTTCCTAAATTGGCTTGTTTCAAGTTAATAGGTTATTGTAAATATTTTGCAGTAAACTTTCAATGTGGAGGAAGCTGCTTGGTATAAAAAACGTTTCATTTATAAACATACAAAATTTATAAAACATATAAATTTATAAAATATACAAAATATATAAAACATACAAAATTTATTAAATTAATCAAATTTAATGAATAAAAATGCATTTTTAAAGTAATTCCTGAAGATAGTATAGTGCAGAAGAAAACATAAGCTTTGGAATCCATTACTCTTGAGAATAGGATCTCGTCTCTGCATCTTACTAAACACGTAACCTCTGGGAATTAAACCTCCTAACCTTATTTCCTCTGTAAGATAGGACTAATAGCTGCCTCAGTGAGCTATGATGATTAAATAAGATGATACACTTAAAGTCTGCAGCACAGTACAAGTATACTGTAGTTTATATACTTATTTCCTTGAAATCTTATGAGTAGCTATTCTCATTTGGCCTGTTTTTTCAGATGAAGAAACTGAAATACAGGGAGGCCAAGGCGGGCAGATTGCTCTAGGCCAGGAGTTCAAAACCAGCCTGAGCAAGAGCAAGGCCCCATCTCTACTATAAATAGAAATTAATTGGCCAACTAATATATATAGAAAAAATTAGCCGGGCATGGTGGCGCATGCCTTGTAGTCCCAGCTACTCGGGAGGCTGAGGCAGGAGGATTGCTTGAGCCCAGGAGTTTGAGGTTGCTGTGAGCTAGGCTGACGCCACGGCACTCACTCTAGCCTGGGCAACAAAGTGAGACTGTCTCAAAAAAAAAAAACTGAAACACAAAGTAATTTGTAAAAGCATTCAAGTTCATAGTATATTGTATTGCTTTATTATCGTCTCACCTCTGTATATGCTAGCACTTATGAAAATTACCCTCAGAATATGATACTCTACCACTTTTATTAAGTGACCATAACATCTTTCTTTTTCTTTTTTTTTTTTTTACTGCATAACATCTTTCTAAAGCCTCCTTGAAATGAGTCACCTAAGAAGCTCTTTTGTTGATATATTAATGCTCTACATGAGGCTTGCATTGCATCTCAAATATTCTCAACCAATGAATCATCCCATGTGGGTACAGTTGAATGTAAAAAAAAAAAAAAAGGAAACTGTTCAAATATGATCAAAATAATCACTGGAAATATTTTCTAGACATTCTACTTGTAGAATTCAAAGGGACAAGTAACAGAGGCAATGATACAATGATGTAATGAACCATTGAGACATGATATTAATATATCTTATGAATCCTCTCTCATTACTCTTTACTATTTGCATATCATTAAATAATTTTCTATACTAGCTAAGGAAAAATGATTCTCATGAAATAATAATGAGTCCCAGGGTGCTATGTATCTTACCTGTGTGACTGATTTAGGTCATACACTTAATGAGGGTGTTTTATCACATATGCTCAACAACTTGCAGTTTGGAAACCAATATGGGAAAGAAGTATGTGTGCCTTTCTGTCCACCTTTCTCATTTCAAAATAATATTAAATGCAATTAAGATGAGAACATAGGGCCCGTGCTCGCTCACGCCTGTAATCCTAGCTCTTGGGAGCCGAGGCGGGCGGATTGCTCAAGGCCAGGAGTTCAAAACCAGCCTAGCAAGAGCGAGACCCCGTCTCTACTATAAATAGAAAGAAATTAATTGGCCAACTGATATATATATAAAAATTAGCCGGCATGGTGGCGCATGCCTGTAGTCCCAGCTACCCGGGAGGCTGAGGCAGAAGGATCACTCGAGCCCAGGAGTTTGAGGTTGCTGTGAGCTAGGCTGACGCCACGGCACTCACTCTAGCCTGGGCAACAAAGCGAGACTTCGTCTCAAAAAAAAAAAAAAAAAAAAAAGATGAGAACATAGCTGGTCTTTAAAAAATAAAAAAAAAGAAAAAAATAAAATAAAAAATAAATGCAATTAAGAGAAATATATTCTCACCAAGATTTATTGTTTAAATAAAAAAAAAGAGAGAAATATAGATAAAATAAGATTACTATTTTGAAAATACTTGTTCCTTTCCCCTGTAATTCACATGCCTGAGTCTTTCTGCCAGGATGGCTCTCAGAGGGATGAAGAACAAGAGAAGATGAGTTTGGGAGAGCAGGGAAGTAAAAACCCACCCATTCCAGCCCTGGTAAATTTTGAGGGGGAGAGAAGAAAAGAAGGATTTTGAGAAGGAGAAGATTAACCACTTTGGGACCGCACTCACCGTCCGAGAAACCTCGCCCACAGCCGGCACTCACAGTCCGCAGGATAGTTTGTGCTGTGCATTGACGGACGAGTCCGTTTTGCTCTTGTGTGATGAGGAAAGCTTTAAAGCACTGAAAGCTTGTTTTACTTTACAGGCAGCTTTGCTTGTAATGTAAATCAGAATAGGTAACATATACATATATGTTTTCATTACGTTATTTTTAAATGTTCACAATTTTATTTTGATAAATGAAAAATTAGGAAAGTCATATCGCAGCTGCCGGCTAAAGTCGCTGTGCGCGTTCATCTGTGGCTGCCGACTATAGTCGACACTGGTACCGAAGTGGTTAAAGCAGCGGGCATTTGAGCCATGTGGGTCCTGACCTCTACTGTGTAGCGTGGATATCACCTGTGTCAATATTTTGGCGGTGGGAGTAATGACAGTTTTCATCCAGTGAGCCTTGCTTCTTTTAAACCCTACCTATATAATCAGAGAATTCATCATTCCTTAGGAGGGTCCAAGAGAGCAAAGCAAGGGAGAGCTTGAGTAAGAAATACTGAAGGTCTCGGGACCTTAAACCCAGAGCCACCGAGCTGTCCACACCAGGGGAGCCATTCGCATCCAACATAATGGACACCATTTAATACAAAGCTTTGTGCCCCTTGGAGTTGTAGAACAAGGCGGCCCTCTAGGGAATCCCTGAGATTGCTGCCTAAGCAACCTTATTAGAAAAATCTTACTGTGAAAAGGAACTTGATTAAAGCACATACTCCAAGTGTAAAAAAAAAAAAAAAAAGGATAGAAGATTAATAAAAAGATTATAAAAATTAAAAAAAAAGAAAAGGAACTTGAAATAAATAATGTTAATGGTTCTATGAAACATGGATAGCATGTAAATTCTAACAACCTGTTTTATTTATGCTCGGTCACGAATGACTCCGCCCAACACATTGTTCTACAGGAGGAATTATTTCAAGGCAATAGCCTAAAATCAAGTCATTTGCAGCAAAGTAAGGCTGCTTGGGTTACGTTATAAATTTTTTTTCCTGTTCACAAACTTCAGGGGAAATTCAGGAACTAGGCAGAGGAAGAATTATGTCAGTTCAGGCATGGAACAAAACTGAGCATCTGCTTTGTGTTCTCTCCTGCAGATAGATAATGTCTAATGTCCCTTCATTTATCACATCAAGTTTGCTTCTAAACATTCGGTGTAAACACACCATCTCTTGCTCAGGTTCCTTTTCCTCTTTTTTTTTTTTTTTGTCTCATTATTTTTCTTGGTGGTTACCTTTTGCTGGTGTGAGCTAACATAAAGGAATAAAGATTTTAAGATTTGCACTTTCTGAACCCGGGGAAGACAGTTATTTTAGAAACTATTGAAGATAATGCTACAAAAGTCAGACACCCCATCGATTTTAGTGCGATGTTGATTCTGAGCGAATAGTGAAAGAATATTGCTCACCCGTTGATCTGTGCCGAGAGAAAGCAAGAAGGGGAAAGAGTGACACCTAGAAAATAACATAAAGTCAGCTCAAGTCTGTTCTCCTGAAACAGACCTGTGAGTTTTTGCAAACTAAGGTCATTTTCTTAGAATTCAAAATGCTGTCCCTTCTTATTGTAAGGAAATTCGTGCCACCAAAGGAGTGTTGACCCACAGCATGCAAACCAAAATAACACTCTCGGTGTGTTGGCTCTGTATCGCTGTTCTGACAAATTACCACGCATTTGGTGGCTTAAACAACATAAATCTGTAGGTCAGATGACCAGTGTGGTCCCACTGGGCTCCAGCCAGGGTGCCAAGCTCTGCATTCCTTACTGGAGACTGGGGGAGTGGGGGGATTTGCTTCCTCGCCTTCCCCAGCCCTGGAGGCTGCGTGGGGTCCTATTCCTGACAGTGGGTGGAGTCCTCGCATGGCATCACTCTGACCTCGCTTCTGCTGTCACAGATCTTCTGACCCTGACTTCTCTGTTTCCCTCTTCTACTTTTTCTGCTTCCTTGCCTCATTTACAAGGACCTTTGCAATTACATTCGGTTCGTCCAGATAATCTTCCTGTTTTAAAGCCACCTGTTAACAACTTCAATCATCTGCAAGCCTATGTCTCTTTTGCCATGTAATGTGACATATTCACAGGTTCTTAGGACATGGACATCTTTGAGGGCCTACTGTGCTGTCTACCAGATAGAGCTTTGTCGTTTTTAATCTTTTAAAAATATTTATTTATTTATTTATTTTTGAGACAGTCTCACTCCATTGACCTGAGTAGTATACCGTGGCATCAGCCTAGCTCATAGGAACCTCAGACTCCTGGGCTCAAGTGATTCTCCTGCCTTAGCCTCTCGAGTAGCTGGGACTATAGGTGCGCACCACCATGCCTGGCTGATTTTTCTATTTTAGTAGAGACGGGGTCGCATTCTTGCTCATGCTGGTCTCAAACTCCTGAGCTCAAGCAGTCTTCCCACCTCGGCCTCCCAGAGTGCTAGGATTATAGGCATGAGCCACCATGCCCGGCCTTTGGGTGCTTATTTCAAATTCACCCCACGATCTAGTATTTGTGCCACCAAAAATAAGCACAGGTATCCTCCTAAATAGGTAAATTTTATTCTTTATTTTTAATTTCAGAAATAATATTTTTATGCATAAATAGATCTATAAAAGAGATAAAAAATAACAATAATTTTGTAACTGCTGGGCTTGTATGTGGGTCTCATCATGTCACTCAATAAGGAAATGCTTTTCAAGCCAGGTATGGTGGTGCATGCTAATAGTCTCAGCTACTTGGGAGGCTGAGGTGGGTGGATCACTTGAGCCCAGGAGTTTGAATCCAGCCTGGGATACACAGCAAGACCCCAACTCTAAAAATAAAAAGAAAGAAAATGTTTTTCAAAGTCACATAAAATTGTGCTTTAGAATCGATTTTTAATTGCTCTGACTTTTGGTTTTAATTGCTTTACTATTTGGTATTGTCAATCACAGTAGTTAAAATCAACTTACAACTTTAAATTCAATTTACCAAGACTACCTTTAAAAATTAAACCCCAATTTTGGCTTAAGCCTGTTTTTTCTGTTTGTTTTCATGTTTGCTTTATGAGTTTTAAAAATTTATTAAAAGGAAAGAAAGATTACTCTCAAGAAAGGAAAGCTACGTTTAACTATTTTTCTAAAAGGAAGTTTGGCTAAGAAGTCACTTTGAGTTTTAAACTGGGGGTTGGGGGAGACATCTCTTGCACATATCCATGCTATCCATATAGCATGTACCATACTTCATCACCCTTTTACATGGTAGAAATTTTTAATAAGACTTTTTGGCCAATTTGGATAAGGTTACAAAGCATCCAATGTGCAATTTAAAAGAAGGAAAACCGTATCCCTTCTGTCTACACTACTGGTGTCCTTTAATATCCTCAGCGCCCTTTGGTGGGAGAGGGAACTACACAGTCAGACAAAGAAAACCCAGCCTCCCTCCCACAGCATTGCCAGGAAGGTTCAGGCTCAGGTGCAGTGTCCAACGCAGGGATCCTTTAGCCACTAGGGGGCAGTGTTAGGGCACTGATTTCGTAGGGAATTAACTTCAAAAAGAAGGAAAACGAAGAAAACATCTTACTCAACAAATATGTGTTGGGTATCTAATGCAACAAACACTTAAGGAGTTTAATCCACTGGAGGACGAAATGGTGGCAACTGGTATCAAAAGCAAAGTTGCCTACTTCCCATTTTGCCAGCAGTTTAGCTCCATAACATCTCCTCCAAACACCCACATCAGTCTTTCAATAAACATTGTATTATTCTCTTCTTTCTCCCTTCCAGTCGCTCTTCCTGCTATTAGACCCACTTTTGGAAGGATGATAGTTTAGGTGAGGCTCTTGGTCCTTTCTTAAGTGGAACAAAAAAAGATTGTTACTATAGGCCACTCCTTTCTCAAAATTATAGACATTATGTCACAATTTTCTCCTACCCACGTTATTGCAGGAATTTTACTTTTCCTTCCCCATCCCCTGCCCGGCTCTTGGCCTGCAAAACCTAAATTATTTTTAATCTGGTCCTTTACAGAAAAAGTTTGTTCACCCTTGATCTGACCCATCATCCTCTCTTCCTTGCACAACTGGAAAGATTCCAGGCCATGCATGAGCCTGGGTTCGGCCTAGTCTTTCAACCATCTGGCTTCTTTTCTCTTCCTCAAAGACATAAAGTCCTACGCTTCCTCAGGGTTTTTATTCTTGCTGCATCCTTTATCTGGAATGCCTTTAAAGGTTCATTCTCACCCTTTAGCTCTCATCTCAAATTCCACTGTCTAGACTGAATATCTCCCAGCCCCAGCTGCTTTCTGTCACAAAATCGCCCTCTTTGTTTCCATCATAATTACCTCAATTGTTCATATTTTACTTAAGCATTGTCCGTTTCCTCCACCAGAATGGAAGCTCCATGAGGCCAGGCACTTTGCTGTCTTTTTTCAACAGCACACAATAGGTGCTCAATAATTTCTTTTTATTGTGGTAAAATATGCATAAATGAAAATTACCATTTCAAGTGTATAGTTCAGTGGCATTAAGAACATTCACACTGTGGTGTAACTATCCCCATCATCCCTCTCCAGAACCTTTTCATCTTCCCAAACTGAAACTCTGTACCCATTCAGCAATAACTCTCAGCTGCCTCCTTCCTCCCAGCCCCTGGCAGCCACCATTCTATACTCTGTCTCTATGAATTTGACTACTCTAGGTCCCTCATGTAAGTGGAATCAACAACATGTGTCCTTTTGTGACTGGCTTATTTCACTTAGCATAATATCTTCAAGGATATTGATACCATGTGCCAGACTTTCCTTCCTTTTAAAGACTGCATAACATTCCTTTGTGTGTATACAACACCACATTCCATTTATCCATTCACCTGATGGACACTGTAAAAATTTCTTTTTTTTTTTTTTTAAAAAAAAAAAAAGATGAGAACATAGCTGTCTTTAAAAATAAAAAAAAGAAAAATAAATAAAAATAAATGCAATTAAGAATATTTCACCAGATTTATTGTTAAATAAATAAAAAAAGAGAAATATAGATAAAATAAGATTACTATTTTGAAATATTTTCCTTTCCCTGTAATTCACATGCCTGAGTCTTTCTGCCAGGATGGCTCTCAGAGGGATGAAGAACAAGAGAAGATGAGTTTGGGAGAAGCAAGGAAGTAAAAACCACCCATTCCACCTGGTAAATTTTGAGGGGGAGAGAAGAAAAGAAGGATTTTGAGAAGGAGAAGATTAACCACTTTGACCGCACTCCACGTCCGAGAAACCTCGCCCAGCCGCACTCACCAGTCCGCAGGATAGTTTGTGTGTGCATTGACGGACGAGTCCGTTTGTCTGTTGTGATGAGGAAAGCTTTAAAAGCACTGAAAGCTTGTTTTACTTACAGGCGCTTTGCTTGTAATGTAAATCAAGAGTAACATATACATATGTTTTCATTACTTATTTAAATTCACAATTTTATTTTATAAATGAAAAATTAGGAAGTCATATCGCAGCTGCGGCTAAATTCGCTGTGCGCGTTCATCTGTGCTGCCGACTATAGTCGACACTGGTACCGAAGTGGTTAAAGCAGCGGGCATTTGAGCCATGTGGTCCTGACCTCTACTGTGTAGCGTGATCACCTGTGTCATATTTTGGCGGTGGAGTAATGACAGTTTTCATCCAGTGAGCCTTGCTCTTTAAACCTACCATTATATCAGAAGAATTCATCATTCCTTAGGAGGTCCAGAGAAGCAAAGCAAGGGAGAGCTTGAGTGAAATACTGAAGGTCTCGGGACCTTAAACCAGAGCCACCGAGCTGTCCACACCAGGGGAGCATTCGCATCCAACATAATGGACACCATTTATACAAAGCTTGGCCTTGGAGTTGTAGAACAAGGCGGCCCTCTAGGGAATCCCTGAGATTGCTGCCTAAGCAACCTTATTAGAAAATCTTACTGTGAAAAGGAACTTGATTAAAGCAATACTCCAAGTGTAAAAAAAAAAAAAGATAGAAGATAATAAAAGATTATAAAAATTAAAAAAAGAAAAGGAACTTGAATAAATAATGTTAATGGTTCTATGAAACATGGATAGCATTAATTCTAAAAACCTGTTTTATTATGCTCGTCACGAATGACTCCGCCAACACATTGTTCTACAGGAGAATTATTTCAAGGCAATAGCCTAAATCAAAGTCATTTGCAGCAAAGTAAGGCTGCTTGGGTTACGTTATAAATTTTTCCTGTTCACAAACTTCAGGGAAATTCAGGAACTAGGCAGAGGAAGAATTATGTCAGTTCAGGCATGGAACAAAACTGAGCATCTGCTTTGTGTTTCTCCTGCAGATAGATAATGTCTAATGTCCCTTCATTTATCAACATCAAGTTTGCTTCTAAACATTCGGTGTAAACACACCATCTCTTGCTCAGGTTCCTTTTCCTCTTTTTTTTTTTTTTTTTTTTTTCCATTCATTTTTCTTGGTGTTACCTTTTGCTGGTGTGAGCTAACATAAAGGAATAAAGATTTTAAGATTTGCACTTTCTGAACGGGGAAGACAGTTATTTAGAAACTATTGAAGATAATGCTACAAAAGTCAGAACCCATCGATTTTAGTGCGATGTTGATTCTGAGCGAATAGTGAAAAATATTGCTCACCCGTTGATCTGTGCCGAGAGAAAGCAAGAAGGGAAAGAGTGACACCGAAAAATAACATAAAGTCAGCTCAAGTCTGTTCTCCTGAACAGACCTGTGTTTTTGCAAACTAAGTCATTTTCTTAGAATTCAAAATGCTTTGTCCTTCTTATTGTAAGGAAATCGTGCCACCAAAGGAGTGTTGACCACAGCATGCAAACCAAAATAAACTCTCGGTGTGTTGGCTCTGTATCGCTGTTCTGACAAATTACCACGCATTGGTGGCTTAAACAACATAATCTTTAGGTCAGATGACCAGTGTGGTCCCACTGGCTCCAGCCAGGGTGCCAAGCTCTGCATTCCTTACTGAGACTGGGGAGTGGGGGATTTGCTTCCTCGCTTCCCCAGCCCTAGGGGGCTGCGGGGTCTATTCCTGACAGTGGTGGGTCCTCGCATGGCATCACTCTGACCTCGCTTCTGCTGTCACAGATCTTCTGACCCTGACTCTCTGTTCCCTCTTCTATTTTTTGCTTCCTTGCTCATTACAAGACCTTTGCAATTACATTCGGTCGTCCAGATAATCTTCCTGTTTTAAAGCCACTGTTAACAACTTCATCATCTGCAAGCCTATGTCTTTTGCCATGTAATGTGACATATTCACAGGTTCTTAGGACATGGACATCTTTGAGGCCTACTGTGCTGTCTACCAGATAGAGCTGTGTTTCGTTTTTAAATTTTTAAAATTATATTATTATTATTGAGACAGTCTCACTCCATTGACCGTGATAGTATACCCGTGGCATCAGCCTAGCTCATAGGAACTCAGACTCCTGGGCTCAAGTGATTCTCCTGCCTTAGCCTCTCGAGTAGCTGGGACTATAGGTGGCCCACCATGCTGGCTGATTTTTCTATTTTAGTAGAGACGGGTCGCATTCTTGCTCATGCTGAGCCCAGGAGTTTGAGGTTGCTGTGAGCTAGGCTGACGCCACGGCACTCACTCTAGCCTGGGCAACAAAGTGAGACTGTCTCAAAAAAAAAAAACTGAAACACAAAGTAATTTGGTCAAAGCATTCAAGTTCATAAGTATATTGTATTGCTTTATTATCGTCTCACCTCTGTATATGCTAGCACTTATGAAAATTACCCTCAGAATATGATACTCTACCACTTTTATTAAGTGACCATAACATCTTTCTTTTTTCTTTTTTTTTTTTTTTTACTGCATAACATCTTTCTAAAGCCTCCTTGAAATGAGTCACCTAAGAAGCTCTTTTGTTGATTATTAATGCTTCTACATGAGGCTTGCATTGCATCTCAAATATTCTCAACCAATGAATCATCCCATGTGGGTACAGTTGAAGTTTGTAAAAAAAAAAAAAAAGGAAATTGTTCAAATATGATCAAAATAATCACTGGAAAATATTTTCTAGACATTCTACTTGTAGAATTCAAAGGGACAAGTAACAGAGGCAATGATACAATGATGTAATGAACCATTGAGACATGATATTAATATATCTTATGAATCCTCTCTCATTACTCTTTACTATTTGCATATCATTAAATAATTTTCTATACTAGCTAAGGAAAAATGATTCTCATGAAATAATAATGAGTCCCAGGGTGTCTAGTGTATCTTACCTGTGTGCACTGATTTAGGGTCATACACTTAATGAGGGTGTTTATCACATATGCTCAACAACTTGCAGTTTGGAAACCAATATGGGAAAGAAGTATGTGTGCCTTTCTGTCCACCTTTCTCATTTCAAAATAATATTAAATGCAATTAAGATGAGAACATAGGGCCGGGCGCTGTGGCTCACGCCTGTAATCCTAGCTCTTGGGAGGCCGAGGCGGGCGGATTGCTCAAGGTCAGGAGTTCAAAACCAGCCCGAGCAGAGAGCAGACCCCGATCTCTGAACTACCTAAATAGAAAGAAATTAATTGGCCAACTGATATATATAAAAAAATTAGCCTGGCATGGTGGCGCAATGCCTGTAGTCCCAGCTACCCGGGAGCTGAGGCAGAAGGATCACTCGAGCCAGGAGTTTGAGGTTGCTGTGAGCTAGGCTGACGCACGGCACTCACTCTAGCCTGGGCAACAAAGCGAGACCTGTCTCAAAAAAAAAAAAACAAAAAAAAAGATGAGAACATAGCTGGTCTTTAAAAATAAAAAAAAGAAAAAAAAATAAAAAAAAATAAATGCAATTAAGAGAAATATATTCTCACCAAGATTTAT